TTAGGGGATCATAGGAGTTTGAAAATAAAGTCTACATGTATTTTCTAGACTTGAAAAAGGGTATATGGCTGCGTTAGTTGAGGGATACTGTGTAGAATGCTTCGGGAGTACAGGGTATTGGAATGGCTTTTGCTAGTTATTTAGTTGCTGTGTAAAAAAGCAAGAGATGTTCACATTCCTAGTACTGGTATTCTGCCTCTTGCCACAAACCCATCCGCTTTGGGTATCTCGGGATTTTCACTTGTTACAGATTATGTTCTCCTGTTATCCTCTTCAGTCTAAGGCGTTGAGAATACATTGGAGTGGTTCCAGGCTGAGTGTGAAGTGGTTGGTAGTAACGTTGTCTCTTCCACATCAAGACCATGGTTCTCAACGAGGAAAATGGGGAATCATTTCTCCAAGTGAGACATTAGTCACTCTTCATGTCAGGGTTGATGAAATTGCCGGCGTGATCAGATCATATGACATTTTTAAAGGGCAATGACAAAAATAAATAAACAGGTCAACATAGCTGTCAATTTTTTTTCTTTTTTTTCTCTAAAACAGAACAGAAATAAAACATTCATCAAATTACACTCATATACAGTATAAGATTAATTCACCGGAGAAGTCTGATGGGGAATGGGTGCAGTACCAAAAGGTCAGCAAGAGTAAGCATTGGGAGTTGGGCCATAGAAACTAGAGACAGGAGCAGGCACAAAGTGTTTTAGAAAAACAAAAGTATGTTTAATAGAAAACAAGAAAGAATAAGAATGTTTTGTGTAGAAAATTAAGGATTAACTGGAGGTCCGTCAAGCTAACAATTTGTTATTTGGAAACTTCTGTTCCTGTTATCAAGGTGACACGTCAGAATGTCAACCAAGGCCACAGAATTTGCAAACAATGCCCAGACGTGGTCGCCAATGTGATAATGTTCTGTGTCTGATTGTGGACAGAAGCTGCTTTTCTGAACTCCATCAAAAGTGAAATATAAACTGTCCCCCTGTGACTGAGGAGCTCCGTCTTGGCTCACACATGGCACCCAGCATGAATAGACACACGTACACACCCTTGCACACACTGCCTTTGCTCCCCTTTCTTTTGTTAAGTATATTTCTGTCTAAGAGTTGTAATCTCACTAACAAGCCCCTTCCCCCCCCCATAGCCTTAATGTCTCATAATCAATTTAAATGCCATACTCTAGTCATTTTCAGTGTCTTATCCTATTGATTGAGGACTGAATACTGTGCATCTGTGGTTCACCTTGATATGCTGCTGCTTAGCTTCTGCTGGAGTCAGAAACATGCCTGCTGTGTGCCTCAGTACAATGCAAGTCTTTTTTCAGGGCATCTGCACCTCAATGATCATGAGAACGCAGTTAAGGAAAAGAGGCAGCAAGTTGAAAAGCAGAGTTTTAAGCCGCCAACAATGGCTAATATGTCTTGTCCTTAGTCATTTCCTTCTCAAATGGTCACAGCTGGTTCCTGAGGGCCTTATCTGGTCAACCTCCACCATAATGCACTAATTACAGTACTTAAGCTTCTGATTTCTGCCCTAGGTTAGGATCACCTTCTTCACTACAAGCAAGATACCTCTTTTCATTGACAACTCATATCCACCTAATGACAGTTCGTTTCAAAGTGGTCATGAAGTATTTATTTTATGTCTTTTTTATTTTTTTTACGAATATTTTAATGTTATCTAAACATTACCCCGATAGGAAATCGGCACAGCATCGCCTCGTAATAAATTCATAATTAAATATGTATATTGGTTAGTTTTCTTGCACGTTGTAAAGATCTTGGTTCACACCAAAAAAATATCACAACATCAAATCGATCTAAATAAGGCTGTTGTCAGTGATGTAAGAAATACTCAGGTGTTTAGTGGGTGAGAGAAATAAATGTGCTCAAACATCTTTGAATCCTACTTGTTGTTATTGTACATTGTTACTAGATGAAAACTTTTTTGTAGACAGCGCTGAGTGGATTTTTTTTTCCTTTTTTAGAAATAGAAGAAAAAACACAGTTTTGGGTTCATGCCATGTGTATTTAGCCTTCAACAAGCTCTTCACCTCCACAGTCCTCTACCATGCTCAAGCAGCCCACTCAACCACTAGATTCAATATATTATTCTCTCAATTGGTCCTATTGAGTTTCCCCTGCCACTTCTAAATGAGTTAGTTCTCAGAGAGCCAGCTGGGAATGAGGGCTGGCAGTGCTGGAATTGCATTTCTTCTGCTGTGATCAACTTCCCTCAATTTACTCGTTGTGTTGTGAACTGCATTTCCCATAGTGCAGTGCTCTGTGCCCTTTTCAAGAACCATTACTATTTGCAATGAAAACATGGGAGTGGTACATGTCAAGATCTAAATGGACTTGGATCATTTCGTATTAAGCTTGGCAGAGTGGGACTGCAGACAATTTCCCTTCCTCTCTGTTGCCTCATGTTGTGGGCAGCATCTCAATGTTCCGAGGTCTCTCCCAGCAGTAGCCAGGTCAATACTAATAAAACCATAATCTACCAGACTGGGACTCTGATTGATAGCTCTCTCAAGACTTTATTGATCAGTTCTTCTCTCTTACAAGTGAGCATCTTTTGTTAGGGCCAGCAACTTCCTTCCCACTTGTCTCTTTGCATAAGACTCTTGTAAGTGACTAGAAGAAATGCTATTAGACTGCAATACAACCAGGGCATATGCTGTGTCACGGAGACTACTTTTGTGGTACATAATAAGCTACTACCTTTAAATAGGATGGAAATAGAAAAATACTTAATCCATCCCCTATCTGAGGATTTTTTTCTGGTCCTCTGAGAAAGCTGCAGTTACTCCTAATTTGGAAAAAAAAAACGTCTTTTTTTGTGTTAGAGAGAAAGAAATGGACCTCTTTTTATGGTATGACTGTCACACAGTAACAAAGGAGATAAATGTTTGCGGTTAAAAATATCAAATCCTGCTATCAGTTTTGCACACGAATTACAAATTTGGTAAATTGCGACCTTTGTGGTTCGTATTCATTCAAATTTGGATCATGTAGCGTTACCATTGCTTTGTTGGATCTGTTTAACTTTTCAAACCATAGGTAAATCTTTTTTTTCTTCCACTTTGTTACGTTTAACGATTTTAAAAGATTTTCTGACGATTTTCTGACGATTTTCTGACGATTTTCTGACGATTTTCTGACGATTTTCTGCAGATCACTAAACCTGCTCTGGGCAGTACTACAACAACTGTCACGGAGAATTTAAAATTCCGATAGAGAAGAAAAAAAAAACAGTTTTAGCTGGGTCCACTTATATCAACTAGCCATTAGTTATTTTACATAAAAGAAAAACACTACTGACTAAACTCACCCAAGACGATTACACAGTTCTATCAAAAGGTAGATTCTATTTATGCCCTAAAACAAAAAATCAAGTGTTAATAAAAATCAATAGAGTTTTTATAGAATAAGGTGGCCTAGATAGACTGTGTCCACAGCCAGACACTCACCCAACCCCCACCCACCAGTCCTGATGCTTTGGATATGATGCTAGGCTTCCTTCGCTGCAGACAGTGATGGATCTCATTCATTTCAACAGTGGCTTCCAGTGCTCTCCCCCATTTTACTCAGTGTCAGTGGTAAACTGGTGCAAGATCCCCACATATCTGCCTTACCAATACGACAGAGCTAGGGGGTGAATGGGAGGTGGATGTAGCGGCCAGTCAAAATTTGACTCTCACTTTACTTTACAAATTATTTACATTGACCTTAAATCATTCTAAAGTAAAATGAAAGAGCATATTACTTAAAAAGTCTAAATAACTTTAGACTATCTCCTTACACGACTAGGCAAAAAGTGACATGAGTTTCCGTACCTGGACTTGCTGGATGGAATATAAACCGCACGATTAACCATTATCTCCTTCTTCCATATTCCACTCACATCGAAACTAATTTACCAATTACACACAAGCATTTACTTTAATTATATTTTTCTGAAGATACATAGCTAAATGGCTACTCAATGTCAATTTGTCCACGTGTCTGCCTGCCAGTGAAAGGAGACTGACTTAAGTCAAGTGAAAGAACTTGCCGAAAACTTTTGAAAGAGCTGTCCCTGGAGGAAAAAAAGGATAAGACACAAAGAGAGAGGCGAAGGAGTAATGTGTCCAGATTAAGCTCAGCCATGTTTTTTTTAAAATATGCAGATGGGTATATTCATTCAAATAAACTGGTAAAGTATCACAAACTGCTCTGAAACAAATGTAAAAATTATCCAAAGAAAAATAGAAAAACAACTGCATAATGAAGCAAGTTATGTGGCAAGAGAGTGAGAAAATGCTTCGAGGACAAAGTAAAGCTCAGCATGCTACTCGAAGCTGAAAAAAAAACAGCCACAAGAAACAGGCTCTAATAAGAAACCCAAAAACACTAATCAGACCTAATCTACAGGGTGCCTGGTGAAGGGAATGTGAAGGGAGGTGCGAATGAATTCATAGATAGTCAATCTTGACGTAAATTTACATATTCAAATTAATCACTTTTTCGAGAGATTGCTCTTATGTATTCAATCACAAAATGGACAATTATGTTAACATCCATTCCAACACTCACTATTCTCAAATGCATTTTTACATTATTTACAGCAAACATCAACCAAGCCATAAAAAAATGAAGAGGTCTTTATCTGTTCGGGTAGTGATGTTATATAAGGTTGTCAGTCGTAACACAATGTCATGATTCTTTGAGGTAATAACAAGGTCCACCAAGGAAACAAGCAAGTAGTGAGCAGGTATAAAATACTCTCATGGGAAATAATGCAAATATGTATCCCTGAGTAAAATGAAACAATAGCAATCTGTTTTTTTTCCATCCTATGTGAAGCACCCTCATCACTTTTGCACTTAAAACATACATTTTTCAATAAATTCAACTTCGGTCCATGTAGTCAATAATTAGTCACAATATTATACACCTCAAGTCATAATGTTACAAGTGCTGACTTAAAAAATCAGAAATTTTTCAATGGCCCTTTACCTCATTGTCTTTGGCCACCCTTCGAGCCACGATAAGCTGAATCATCCCACGTTTGTTGCCTTCTATTGACATGGATTTGCGCAGCGCTTCCATGGCATCCTGGTTAGTCATCCCAATCAATGACTCCCCGTTGACAGCAATGAGTTGGTCATTGACATGTAGACGTCCATCCTGCAGACAAATACCATCATATAGAAGCTGCAACTAGTGCATACAATTCAGACATTTTGATGAGAGATGTCATTTATGAGAATATTTTAAATATACAGTATATATATATATATATATATATATATATATATATATTATTACTTGCACTGTTTCCCGTCGAAAAATCTCTGGGCAAATTTAGTAACTATTTTTCCAACTAATTTTCCTAATCAGATTTAAATCTGTTCCTGATTCACTGCTCAGCCTAATTAAACAATAAAATATATCTGAATATTGCTTCTACATGATAAAATAAAAAAAAAACTATAGTAATGTAAGTAATCAAAAACATCAAATGACCATCTGCTTTTTTAACTGTAGTGCTTCACATCATCTTGCCAGTAGTTAACTGGCCTACAATATGAAAACAGATAAACAGTCAGAATTAAATTTGATACTTGCCTTGCTAGCAGCCCCTCCATTGATGATAGATTTTACGAAGATGCCTAAATCAGCTTGATCCTCCTTGGACCGGTTACCCTTGACACTGACACCCAATCCTGCTGAGCCTGAGTCATTCAGGGGGATCTCAAAGGTCATGAACTCTCTTGTACCATCGAAGGTTAACACCATGTCATCCTCTCCATGCTGATATGAAAATTAAAGAAAAAGAAAGATGTGAGTGAGATTTTTTCTTGAATTCAAATAGCTTGTCTTTCGGCTAAAATTACTATCTACAATGAAAAAATATTATTATGAATATAGAATTTTTGCCAGATACATTTCTGCAATTACTAAAAAATCGTATACAGTATAATCAAACGTATAGGACATACATTCTATTCTACATTCTATCTCCAAGTTGACTCTGGGTTATGATTATTTGACATTGTTGCAAAATTTGGTAAACTGATGTCTGTTGCATAGGGGAACAAAAAATGCAACATTGTATTACAATAAACAGAAATGCATGTGGATGACAGACAAATGGGAAGAAAACAGTAGACAGCATGATAAGTGGTTAGATGAGGGGAGCAAGAGAAGAAAAAAAATGTTGCCATTGTAAAACAACACACAACATTTTCATTAATATCATGATCAGTAATTTTATCATCAGCAAAATCAACAACAATAATAGTAATCATCTCTAATCATCCTCATCATCATGATAATAATCATTCAGGATATAAACATTTTAATGGCACCAGGAGAAAATATTCTTTTTGCAGAAAGACTCCTGTTGTAGAGAAGAAAAAAAAACATATTTTTTAAAGAATTGGAAGTCTACAGGTGTAACTTTCATGATCTTCCATGAGCATCAGAGGATAGCATGGCAAACTTTATGAATCTGTGGAAAAACTTCATTTTGTGGTTCAGTTCATGTCTATGGAAAGTAAACTTAGAAAAGTGTCCAAACTAAGTGGTAACATTCACAAATTTCCTCTGTGCTTATAATAACACGGGTTATTTGTTTTAATATGATAACAAAGATACTACAACAAAACTTAGAATATGAAAGTGCTTCCCTTCTGCTTTTCCATATAAATGTGCTAGTTGTCTGATGACAAGTGTGATTCACAAAATGATTCAAGCAGCACTGTGATATTGTAATTGGTCTGTACCGGATGGACTGTATCATGCGTATACATGTACTTTGTGCCATAGCAGCTACACTCAATTAATAACAAAGGCGGTTAGAGTATGCACCCCCATAACACCTCTAACACCTCTAAAAGATTTTTTTTTTTTTTAAATCGCATTAACATATGTGTATCCACTGCCAGACAGATGGTTGCCAGGTGAGTGTCCTTCACAGCTGTTCAACTGAAGAGTGATACAGAGCAAATAAGAAGGCGATAGACTGTGCAGTGTGTGTTTCTCATAGCCTGAAGAATTCTTAGGATGCAGCAGTGCATTCAGGTGGAGTCTTTTTCAAAATATCAGACTAAGCCGCTGTTCTAAACAATGCCCTCCTATCTGCACTTTATTGCAGTCATTATAAAAATTCTGACCACAGAAATCTCTTTAACCAAACTGCATTTGAACATATCTGGTTTTATCATGGAACTCACCAGCTTTTGTCAGGAGGTGACCCTATACTTTACTTTACCTTACCTACTGAATGAACTGGACCAGGGACAGAAAGCTAAAAACTAAAAGAGAAATTCTAAGCGAAAAGCATCTAAAGCATCAAAGATGTGTGGTGAGCTGTGCCTTATAAAATGTACACATTTTCATCACAAGGTGATAGCCTTATTTATATATTATTTATATATTTTGAAAGCTGTTATATGAATTGTTAGAGGTTAAATCACTTAGACGACAAACATATGTAATACTCTTGCAATTTCTGTTTTGAAAGGAACGTTTGTGGAAAAACGCACTTCTGGTTAATTTACTAAGTAAATCTTTGTCTTTAATTATGATTTTTTTAAAATAAGTAAATAACAAATAATATGGATGTGAGTTAAGCTCTCACACTTTTGGCCCAGCAGCTAAAGAGAGTAAGACATTTATCGGAAAAATAATTTGAATAGATGCATTCTGAGCCATTACGTGTCTGCATGTACAGATTGTCTTCCCAAAGGATGACAGGGTGTTCTGGGAAGAGAAGGCCAGGGCAGAGAATGAGACAGCAGTGTAACATTTTCATCAGACAGGAACAGGTGCTGCAGGCAAAGAATGAGTTTGTCAGGCAGCTTGACAGTCCTCGTTGGACGATTGAACTCACAAAGAGCTGAATTTAACTACCTTTGAGCAAGAGAAAAGAGTTGTTCATTGTTCCAAGCTCAGCACCGTGCATGCACCTGGGACAGACAGCACAAAGGTACTGACAATCAATGAAGTGAGGTAAAAACTGTAAAAAGGTTACAAGGAAGCATTGGATTCAGCACATCCAAGAAACAACATCAGATATGTTGCTCTTTTTCTGTCTCTCTCTTTCTCTCTCTCTTTCTCTCTCTCTCTGTCTCTATCGCTCTCTCTCTCTCATATATCAGCTGTAACATGACCAGACCATACTTGTTTCCCGGAACCATGCTTTATACAATTCTCAAGAAGATTTTAACAACACATCCAGATAAAATATCAACTTACACTGCATTTGTGACCTCATCAGATATATCTCAAAGATAAATCAATCAAAAAATCTCCAGATGTAACAAAACCTAGATTAAAACCCATGCTCGTAAGCGTTGGCTGCACACACATCAGAAAAGGCATTTCGAAAAGTTACTCAATGATTACTTCCAAACACTCTATCTTGTTTTATGGATCAACTGTTTATTTTCTAATTTTGTGGGTTTGTTTTTCTTTTGTTCTAATGATGTCAGGGTTTTGCCTTTCCCTATATCTTTTGTGCTCCCTGTGCCATTCGTGTGTTGTTTTCACTGTGTACTCAGCGGGAGTATCACATGAAAAAAGGCCAACAGCTCTGATTGCAGATAAACATGTGTTTCTTATATAGGCAATCTAATTGAGTATTACTAGAGTTTAATAATCAAAAGTTTCAATTTCCAACCAACAAGTATCACCACCAATGAAAATCAAAAGTAAGATTTATTTTTTAGGATATAAACATGAAATAAAATACTGGTGGCTACATTTTTTTTCTTACAGTGTATGTAAAGTGACAAAAAATTACTCAACCTCATTGTAAAGACCAGATATGAAAATAAAATGTTGGGCAAATTCAATACTTCTCCAGTTAGTAGATGGTAAGAAGAAGGCACATTTTTTATCAACTCAAGCATCACTTATTTCTACGCTAGTCAAATAGTCTACCTGCTTTCAACTGATTTGCATAAAAATACATGAACTGAAAATATGGCTTCCTCAAAACGTTTTTCATGATCAAATTCAAAATAAGCTTTTACTATTACATCTTCATGGTTTAAGACCACAGACTGATCAAGTTTGTTCTGACTTCAGCCTTTTTCACTTTCTGAATATGTTGCTTAAGTAATCACATGCGAAAAAGAAATATGTCTAAATGTGTGAATGTGTTTCACAGAGAAACACAGAAAAGGCCAGTGAGAAGCGAAAGAGAGAGATAGATTACAATAACCTCTATTCAAACAAAACTTTCTCCACACATCAATGCCTAAAACAATTAACACTGATCAAAATTTTGTTCCAGACTTGGCCCAATTTGGTGACAGAAAAGGTCATTGGAAATGAATTAAAGAGCTAAAAGAAATCAGCCATGGATGTAATTGCAAAGAAGTGAATGCATGATAAGTACTGTAACACAAATTTCTTTAGTGATGTTTTTCTATGCAACATTTTCAGACAAAAGGAGCTAAAAACTGAATACATAACAATACAGGCTATACGGGTTTACAGCAAAAAGCTGACTGCCAGGTTTTTAATGTTTGTGAACTACCATTATTTTTGTTTTGCTGTTTATTTTTTAAAGATTTTGTAATATGAAAATGTGACTGTTAAAAGAGGTCTGTTTCTACGAGGGAATCTGAGCCAATAAAGACATAAAGCAATGCATCATGACTACTACAAAGACATTCATAGATTAAGTTTTCTTGACGTAAGCTGATTAAAACTAACACTGCAAATAGACAAACAGACGATGACTCTCCTGGCATACTTGGCCAATGTGAATGTTTGTTAAGACATTTCAGTAGAACCAGAGAGCACCATGAGTCAAATGCCTCTCATTTAAAACTAATGGTGAATCAAAAGGCATTTTGCTATGTCCAACTTCACATGCATGCTTCAGTCCATTATGGGTTCTGAAAACAGACGCTAAATCCCTTTCGGGAGAGTAGCTGTGTCGTCATTAGTGGCCTTTAACTACCCTGTTTATCGGCACAATGCAGCACTGCACCATCCCTTACTTTGCACTGCACTGACAGCAAGCATAATTATGAAAACAGCTGCTGAAAACTGCTAAACGAAAACAGGTGGCACCAACGAGACACGCTCACAAATTGCTAAGCAGGCTGGCATTGTCTTCTACCATACTTGGCAGCTTTAGTTTGAATTACGACAGAGTATATTCTAATCTGTGAATCTATTCAATTTATTCTAATTGCAAAATATTTATTCATAATCCAAATCAACAGCATGGAAAGATCTACTTATGGGTATAACTGATATACAGAAAAGAATAAAGTGGTGGAAAAAAAGTGGTGTTTCTCTTTTTGTTGTTGGGGCTACACAAACACATAAACCTGTTCCAGCAAAACTCTGACAATTTGTCATATTGGAGACAATGTGCGATTATAGCTAAGGGGTCAACAAAGATACAAATTTCTAATAGGAAATGTCGTTCAAGTTATAAATCTAATCTCAACTGAGTTACAAATGTATTTTAACAATCACTTTAAAAAAGTAGGGTCAGACAGATGAAGAAATAATAAAGGAATTAGCTGGTCACATTCAATTCTATTATAACAGCTGTTCTGTTTTCGAAGTCTGGAAATGTAATTAATTACAAGTGTAATTAATCACGATAGAAGTGAGAATATTGACATAAAGGTTGCCACATAGAAAATCCTCCAAATAAGAAATCACTTATCTATTCCAGCTGTTGTCTGGTATTTATAAAGGTAATTTATCCTCCTCAGTCACCTGCTGTTATATTAAACTGCTTAAATTAGTCTGAGGAAAGATAGTGTTTTTCACCTTCT